GTTTATTCTAAGCACACATTTTTACATTATATAGATATAAACCCTATTATTAATCAATTAATTAATATAGAACAATGCTTTTCGCTTATTAAAAATCATGTAAATAAAGAAAACGTTACTAACCATATGTCATATTATGGATTATCAGAAAGTACTTTATTAAGAACGCAATTCTTGATCGATTCAAGCACAAAATAAATTAAAGAATCTTTATCCGCACATTAGGACAAAGCGTGGATTAATAAATATTGTAGGAAAAACCTCTAAATGGCTTTTCGGTACACTAGATTCTGAAGACGAGACAAAAAATAATAAAATACTTTATAAATAAAGCTAAAACAAAATCAAAAAGGCTTAATAAACGAAGCTAATTTACAAATTTCCTTATCGAAAAACTTAATAAGTATAATAAACAATTGTTTCTCTAACTACAAACCAGCAAAAACTAGAAAAAAGTCTGAAACTATTCCAACAAACAGTTGATAAAACTATATCAAATTTAAATGCATACTTGAATTTTCAAGGCATTGTTTCGCAACTTAATCTAGACTGCCAGAGTCTGATTACTTTTCTCGATAATCTCGAAGACGCGATTATGTTTGCAAAGTTACATAACGTTATCATATCAAGCTACGGTTACATAACGTTATCATATCAAGCTACGGCCTTACATAACGTTATCATATCAAGCTACGAGTTAAATGAACAATTAAATTACTTAAGAACAATTTATAAAAATAACGAAGTTCCAAATTTTAAAAATATATTAACCTATTATCAGTTATTGGGTACACAGGTAACATTTTCTGAAAATAAATTAATTTTCGCTATACACATTCCTATAATTAGACCTAAGGAATACACCTTTTACCACCTATACCCAATTATCCTAAATCAAAATATCTTCATTCCCAAATATCCATTCCTGGCACAAGAAGACCAGTCATACCAATTTGAGGAAGAAGCATGTCCATTCCTGGAAGAAAAATACTTCTGTCAAGAAAACTTCCATGCACGAGACGAATGCACTATCCAACTACTGTCCGGAAACTTCAACTGCTCAACGATCCACATCGACATAAAAGAATCCGTCATTGAACAAATCACGCGAAAAGAAGTTCTACTCTTGCCAGCCAAAGAAGAACGAATATATGCACAATGCAGAATCAATCAATACATCAATGTTAAGAAACCAACTTTAATAAATATTCCATCCGAATGCCAAGTGACCATCGATTCAAGAACATATAGAAACGATGTTCAACTAAGAAAAGGAAAACCTTTAATCCTGCCTGAGGTACAACTAGAAAATCTTGAAAAACCAGAGTCCAAATTCGAATATATTGCTCCGAAGCTATCGAAAATCAACTTCGACGATATATACGAGATAAAAGAAAAAATTCAACGAACTATCACCGATCAAAGAAGACGAAGAAAGAACCTATCAACCAGTCATCTTCGATATTGCGATTATTTTCATTTGTCTAATAATTTACCAATATACCTATGTTTATTCAAAAAAATACCCACAACTCAAGAAGTACTTTCCATGTTTAAAGAAGAAAGAAGAACAGCATGTTGATCCCACAGAGGACCCCCCCGAAAATAGCCCGTTATTTTCTTGTCTTAACAGGGGAGGAGTTATATGTATAAATAAGTGTTATTTCATTGTAATTAAATACTGAATGCCTATTTTACATTATGTCACATATAAAAGCGAACTGAACGGTTCGAAGCAGACTTTTCACTCTCTATACTCTATCGAGAATGTTTGTAACAATAAAATCGTTTTTTAAAAACAACTCTGTTAATTCAGAACCCAAAACTAGGAAAACACCATCAAATTATAATGTCTGTGTTTGGTTTACAAATTGATAATGCAAGTTATTTTAAAACGTTTGCCGCCATATTTAATAGTCTTACCTTCGACATTTAATTCCTTTGCAATTTTCTTCCAGACCATGTCTTTGTAGTCGGAGTTTCGGTACTGCTCTTTGGTCTGGTCATACAGCACTGGATATTTCCTCACTTCTTCAATTAGTTCCTCCGGTTTTATTGTTGACATTTTTTATTATTTTAGTAAAAAACTAAAAATAACAGGAAAAACAAAAATAAAGAAAATAGTTGAAAACGACACTCGTCCCACAGCCGGCATCGACGAATAGACTGACAAATCGGAATACGAACGGATGCAGGAACGGAGTCGAGTAGGAGCGGGGATGAATCACGCATCGGAAAGGTGTAAACTACGTTGGTTAAAATAACGTACGATTTCCCTCTCATACAGTCGTCATATCGGAGCCGGCCTTTACTTTGAGTATTGGATGGGATTTCAGTATACAGAAATACATTGCAACAATATGGTCATTCTTATTTTGTCCCGTACAAGAGTCTGAATACAGCGTAATCTCCTCAACATGACTTGGAATGCTATTAAGAAACTGGTATCAGCACGATGCGATTTGCTTCGCTCCTCTAGCTGCTACAGCTTCATACCACATAAAGCAATGGCCCTGTTCCACGTCACAATCATAAACTGTTAAATTAAATGTCCACAACTGTCTCAAATAAAACGTTATGCCAGATGAAAGATGAGGGGTAGGAAGACATTGCTGAAGATCGATGTGATGGTTTTCTTCGATTTGTCGTATTTTGATAATTTTTTATTTTCTGATTTTAAAATATAATAATCGTCAGCCTCTTTTAAGTGCAAATCTAACTCTTCTTGAAGTGCTTTTTTCGAGATTAGTGGATAAGTTTATTTTCATTTTCAGTTTGTCACATTTTCCGCAAGTATCTTTGCTTGGTCTCTTAATCCCAATATTCATAGTATGGAATATTTCCTCAAATTTGGTACGACTTGTAGCAATATGATCGGGTTATGTCAGATATTGATTGTACAGTTTTGCAATTGGGGGTAAATATTTCTTGTTGCTGTCTCGTCTACTGCAATGACTTTGATAAAGGGGAACTTTTAAAATGAAGTCGGTAACTTTTTTGATGTCATCATCAGTGTATTTGTTTTTAGGAGACTTTTTCCCCCGAAGATTACTGTGGTAAATTCCGGAACAAGTTGGAGTTAATTTTGAGGCTGTAGAGTTCTATACATTTGTTTGTTTCACCTAAGGTTTTACGAAAACATTCCTTGCAAATTTTGTGTTCTATTCCATTAATTCTGAGGTGATACATATGAATAAACTGCCTATATTTATTTTTGCTCTTTGTTTTCTTTACTTTACGAGAAACCTTTTTTTTATTTTTTTATTACGCTCGTGATAAACTGTACACGTTTTTCATAGGAGCCAACTCCCTAATACCCCTTAAAAATAATTTCTCTGTCTTCATCCTTAAACCTCTCTCGACATTTCATTCGACAGCTGGCTAATGGTTGACAAATTCTTGACTTCTTTATTTTTCCAGACTCTGTGATGTATTCTTCGCCATGGTTTCGTTTCAGCTTCCTTTCCAATTTTTTCGACCTGGTCTTTCCTTTAACGGATTTTCTTTGTTTTCTGACTTTATCAGTTCACGGATTTTCTTCTTGCACCGGTGTAGGTACCTTCCCCCTTTTTTTAAATGCCTATTGCTTCAGCAAAGCTGTCCTCTGTATCAGAGGACAGATATTCATCGTCAGTACTCAGGCTCTCAAAAAATTCTCTAAATTCTTCTGGTATTGAAGGAACGGGACTGCTCGAAAGGGATTCTGAAAAAAAAAATTTACTTTTTTTTATACTACTATTGTTTTTGGAGATTGCTAAAATTATGGAATTTTCCCAAAAACGTTTACGATATTCTAAAATTAATGTGTGTAGCACATAACTATCCTTCTGTTTATGAACTTGGTATTTTGTGGTAATCCACGTACGTGGATTACCACAAAATAGAGCCACCATTCCTGACGACCTGCCCTAGCACAGCGTATTCCCTCTTTCGCCTGGTCGGCAATCGTTGCTCTCCCGCGTTTTTAATATCCTATCTAACCCCAAGATCCCGTCGGCTCACTTCCTTATCCCTATAACGCGCTTAGGTGTAGAGTAAACGCTAGTAATAATAAAAAGAATACGACCTACCCTCGATCACTTCGGCGGCTGGTGCTTGCCTTGCGCAGTACGGCGGCGATCGGCGGCTGATGGCTAGTCACTTGGTGGGGCACTCCGGAACTCGACTTCACTGTCTCGTAGAGGTGAGTAGTTCGCGAACGACCTATTAAAAAGAACGATTCTTTAGTGCGAACTAAATGAACTAGTTCGCAGATATAAAATGAACTAGTTCGCGGCGAACGATTTATGAGCAAATGAATTTCATGAACGATTGTATTAGAACGATTCTATAGTGAGTAGTGAGATTGTCTCTGGTGAGAACTAAATGAACTAGCAGAGATAAAAACTCGTTCGCGGCGATTGTTTTGAAATGTTTTGGGTTAGGTATCGCTAGTTCACTGGACTGCGAAGAGAATTATCAATAAAAAAATGTGTAATTTCAAGAACACGAGAAAGACTTTAATGTTGGGATGTAGGATCACATTTCGGGTCTCTGGTTTGGTTTGGTTTTAGTTCGGATTGAGGTTGTGGTTTTGGGAACTTTTTGACGTTTGGCGTTGTAAAATAAGAATTGGAATCGATGTTGCCAGATTAGTAAAAAAATACTTAATTTCAAAACTTATGTTATTTAAATATCTACCACTTTAAATGCATTATTTGCAATAATTGTAAATCTTTATTAAGTTTAAAAATTTTGATGTGTTTATAAAATATAATAATAGAAAAATTAAGGTACATTCAAAATAAAAATATGTATAATTCATAACAACAAGAACTATTATAAAAGTAAATATGATAATTCGGACAAACAACATATACAAACCAAAACAAGAAAATATAAAAAGACAAATAAAAACTAATCATTCAAATACTTAAAAATAAAGAAACAACAAAAAAATCCTATTATCTTTTAAAAATACTACATAAATTTAACAAAATAAAAAAAAAATTAAAAAACTCTTATAGGTTATAGTTTAAGAACATAATTTCTTGCACTTTTTTTGGTTTTAATGCACTTCTCCGTTGGGTAACAGTTAGGCCGGCACGGGAAAAAATTCGTTCACATGGAACAGACGTCGCCATTAGACTTAAACGTTTTTTTACTAATTCGAATAACCTCGGATAAATTTTTGATCGTTCTTTCCACCAGTTTAGTGGATTTTCAGTTCGAGGTAAGAGAGGCTCGTTACAGTATTTTTCCACTTCAATTATGCCTGCAGCAATTGGGTTCTGCAAGGCTGTTAAACTGTTCACCTCTAAGTCAAATTCTTCCCATATTGTGGAACCTAATGACTGCTTAATTTCTGATGTATTTTCTCGGGTAACTTCTACTGTATCAGATTTTAGTTTAATGGCAGAAGCTCTTTTTTGTAAATATTCATAAGCAGCCTTATGTTTATATTCGCTATAAAACCCGTATTTTTTAAACCGAGGATCTAATATAGTGGCCTGGCATGCCAGTTCATTGTCCTCGATTTTTTCGAACCTGGACTCTATTTGATCACCCAGTTTTTGAACCATATTAATAACCTCTTTTGGTACATTTTCTTTATGTAATACGGCATGCCCTCTTATTTTCTTTCTCACAATTTTCACAAAAGGTATCACTTTCGATAGCGTAACATTTTTCTCAGCACTTATTTCGTTGGTTATCTCAAGAAACAACTTTAATACGTCCACCGCAAATTCTATTACTTTCCAGTCATGGCTAGTTAAAACAGTTTCTAACTCATTTTGAAGTAAAGCCAAAGTGGAAATTACAGCCTCTTTAATTTGAAGAATACGTGAAAGCATTTCATGTTTTAACTTAAGCTCTGGGAGATTCAGCTGTTCCTGCATTTTTTTTTAATTTTGAGAGCCCTTGTGAACTTCTTTTAAAAAATTCGACTATAGATTTTACTTTTTTAGTTGTCATTGCTATTTCTTTAATACCTTCCTGGACAACCAAATTAATTGTGTGCGCGAAGCAAGGTATATGACGCCACTGGCAACAGCGTACCGCGGCAACTATATTGGCGGCGTTGTCTGTTGTACATGCAGCCACTTTAATATCCAAACCAAATTTTCTGACAACATCAATTAAAAGACTAGCAAGATTTTCCACTGTGTGTCTTGTTTCAAAGCAGATGCAGTCTAACAATGCCGACGATATTTGAAAATCCGTATTAAAATAATGTACGGTAATTGCTGTAAAACTTTCGTTGTTAACTGACGTCCACGAATCGGTAGTTATACAGCAGGCTTCAACATCTTTTAATGCTGTTTTTATTTTTTCTAGCTCAGAAAGATAAAGATTTGGTATAAGCGTATTTGAAATGGTTTTTCATGTTGGCATTTGATACCCCGGATTTAACATGCTTATAAATTTTTTAAATTCTGGATCTTCAACAATGGAAATGGGATTATATTCTTTAACAATCATCTTAATTAACTGAAGATCTAAACTTTTGGCTTTTTGATTAGAAACGGGTTTAATAAGAAAGTTTTTCATTGAAGCTACATGCATTGGCCTTTTTATTACCTCGCTTGTTTGGCTGACAAATGATGCTGACGTAGATGCCTGGGATGTAGTAGATGACTGCGATGTAGATGGCTGCGACTCCATTGGCTCAGGGTGGTCTATGTCTATTTCCTCATCTTGTTCTTTACTGTGCACATGTGGTTTCGAAGTGCTTCTTTCAATATCTAAATTCACCATAGTATGTTTGGTACTAAGGTGCCTTCGTATATTGCCCAAGGAACCATTTAAAATTCGAGTAATTTGGCTGCAATAATTACATTTGGCATTGTTTTTATCTATTTTTGCAAAATGATCCCATATGACACTTCGATTACGTCTATTCATTTTATGTATTTAAAACAAAACAGAAAATTTAAAAACTAACAGCTTAGATTCGATATCTGCACGATCGGTAGTAAATATAAAATTTCAAAATTAAAAAAAAAACAATTCAAATGTAGGTTATTAGTGATTCGACTAATAAAATCCCACAAAGCCACTTCAATGCACTGCTGGCAACTTAAAGATTGGATTTTAAAGAATTGTAAAATGGTTTGTTTTATTTTCACAAGTTTTGAGTATAACTATTTTTAAGAAAATAAGAAAGACTATCAATCGCATACCGTTGACAAATTTTTGGTAAATTCTAGACATTTGGGCGAGATTTCAAAAAATGTTTCGCCTGTGCCTCTTTTTACCCTCATCCTCTATTTTTAATTTTGAAAATTGGCACTAAAAACACTAGTCCTAGTCTAATCCCAGTTAGGTCTGTTTGGTGGGAGAATTACAGATGAAATACAGTAAATATCGTTCGCGAACTAGTTAACTGAACTAGTTCGCAATAACGAACTAGTTCGCGCGAACTAGTTCATTGAAAAGAACTATTAAGCACACCTCTACTGTCTCGCGTGCGACCACGAACTGTCGTTTTCTTACTGCTGCAGCCGAGATACTCGACTGGCGCTCCCCTCCAATTAGCGGAGTAGGGAAATCGGCGCGGATTGTTCGTTTTCTCGCATTAAATCTACAGCGACCAAAATCGATCAAAACTCTCTTACAATATGGCAATTACTTCAAATAAATATTTAACTTATTTAATTTAACAATCGGAATACTAATGAAGTTCATTACAACAATGTTCTGATAATTAACAGTCATTAATAAACTACATTAACAGTCATTATATAAAAGAAAATGAAGTCCCTTTTATTCTTGTATAATATTAATTAACTCAATATATAGGGTCTCCCAGGAATAAGTGCAGAAATTTTTATGAACTTTATTACAATGACTAAAAATGTTTGATCCTTTTCCCCTCTTGCCCACCCGCTGTTCAAATATTTATTTTAACACATTAAAAAGCTTATGCGCGGAAAATTTTATACGTGGTATCACTGCAGTAGGACTAAGTAAAGTTTCTATGGAGTCAAGAGGATAGCGGCTCGTGTCCATGTGTCACAAAAACCAGGAATATGAAAATCTAAATTTATGTATTTTATTTTCTAACCTCAAAATTTGAAAATATATTATTGAGAATAATTTCTGAATGATGTCTATATTACTCAATTGTTTTTCCTTAAAAGAAATTATATTGCAATACGCTTTACGTATACTATTATAATGTCAATATTGTCTTGACTCCTTCTTTTACTTCTCTCCCAGTGTCCGGAAAGGACAATATTGACATTATAATAGTATACGTAAAGCGTATTGCAATATAATTTCTTAATTTTTAACTAGAAATCTTTTAAGGAAAAACAATTGAGTAATATGATGTCTTTCAGAAATTATTCTCAATAATATATTTTCAAATTTTGAGGTAAGAAAATAAAACACATAAATTTAGATTTTCATATTCCTGGTCTTTGTGACACATGGACACGAGCCGCTATCCTCTTGACTCCATAGAAACTCAATTAAAACGTATTTTTAATAAATTTTATAATTTTTTTACCACCAATACTTCTTTATGCAAGTTGTAACTAGTGATGGGATAATTCGAGCGAAAATTCGCTCGAATACTCGATTATTGAAATAACCGACATCGCTCGATTATGAACGACCGATTCAAGTGACGAGTGACCAGCGATAAGCGCAAGCGATGAAAACTGAAAACATCAAGGATCAAGGCAGTTTACGTGTTTCTCGTCGCTTGTTGCTTGCCGCTTACAGTAAGTAGAGGAAAAAATAAAATACATTTTTCTTCCTACCCAACCTATAATTGTATACCCATTGTATACTTTATACATTTTGGAGAAGATAATGGATAAGATCTTATGATATGAAAATTAATTGCCTAGGGCGTAATTATTTGTGTTTTTTTTATCTATATAACTTATGCTCTTAATGATCTATATGAGTGTTTTGTAATTATTTATAAACATATTTTTTAACATTTTAACATACATTTTTGCCAATAGTCAATAAAAGTTGTACTTTGTTGTAGATATATAACACTGATGAAGGCTATAGTTTTGGCCGAAAACACGTGTGTCTTAGACTAAATAAATATTTTTTAAACAAAATGAAAATATAATTCAGCATTTTCGGAACCTAAATGTTCCAAGAAAATTAATTTAGAATATGTGGATATAAGTTTCAAGAACTTGAAATTTCCAAAAATTTGATACCTATTTTAGTGGTGGGTTTTACACGCTCATTTCTGGTTATCAATGAGCGTGTATAAAACTTGTATATAACGTGACGTTATTTTCTTAATTTTATTAATAATAAATATATTAAATTATTTATTATTAATAAAACAAATGGTATTTAAAAACAAAATAATAATTCTAAAACAATAAATGGCATTTTTTATAATATATAATATTTATTAACTAAAATATATACAACTGTTTAGAGCCATAACTCAAGAACCAATATAGATATTGAAACTTTTTTTATTTTCAAGATCGGATATTTTACAATACGTTTACATAAGAAAACTTCGATAAGGTTGTTTTTTCCATTCAAAAATTGTAAACAATCCATCCATTTACTTTTAGAGCATAGCAATTTTCAGCAATCGTGTAATTTTTTTATTGATAAAGATTTTCACATACTGTCTACAAAGAAAATACAGCCAGAAATAATAACAAAGTTCTTGAAAAAACTACAATCTATTATTTCTAATAAATTTCGAGATATCGATTTTTGAGTTCTAATAGCGATTCCACTTATTTTTACCAAAAATGCGAGTGTTTCTAGCTTGCACTTAAAAAAATTCAAGCTATAGGGAAAGTTACAACGACTCGTTAATAAATAAACAAATTACGAGACGTAATTAAATCGTGAAGCTGAACGCATGACGTACACCTTTCCCTAGAACTTTAAGTACTGACAGAGGTATTGATTGGGTCAACTGCGACAAATCGGCTATATCCCCTTCCACGTCTCTTAGCGATGTGCACAGTTTCTCGGTTTATTTCATACGTTTGGCAACGTGTTTACTGTCCTCTCTTGGTTCAGTACATTATAAACGCATTGTACTCTTCTTACATACGGAAATCTCGACCCAAGACTAACCTTTGCCAGCCCTTAGTATTGGTTTCTTCATATTTGGTGGTATTATGTTTTTAAGTTTCAGGAGTGTGGCAATTGTTCTGGCGTTTTCTTTTTTTAAACTATTTATATGTGTGTCCCATTTTAAATTGTTATGGATTTTAATACCGAGGTAATTGACTTCAGATATTTCTTTTATTTTTTGCTCGTTTAGAATTATATTTAAGTTTTTTGTTTCCTTTTTTATATTAAATCTTATAAATTCTGTTTTGGATTCATTTATAGTTAGTGAATTGTTGAAACACCACATTTCAAATTTCTTCATATCATTATTTAGGTTCACTTGTAAATTATTGTAATCTTTGTTAGAATACACAATACGTAAATCATCAGCATACGCAAACATTCTACCAAAAAAATGTTGTTCAAATAAATCGTTAGTATATAGAATATATAGTAGTGGTGGCAAGTTGCCGCCTTGTTGTAGGCCATATGGAGCTATGCTAATATTGCTTTCTGTCTCCGATTTTTGTTTTCTGGGATCTGTTATTCAAATAACATTTTACTACGTTGATGTAATTACCAAATCCATATGAAATGAGTTTCTCTAAGAGTTTTTCCTTACTGACAGTATCGAAGGCTTTTTTTATATCCAAAAATACTGTAACGACCATATGTTTCTTTTCTATGCACTTTTTTATGTTTTCAATCAAGTCATATACAGCTGAGCTCGTGCCTGAATTTTTCTGGAAAGCATATTGTGCTGCATTTATTATTTTATTTTGTGTTGCGTGTTCTGACATTCTATTATGTAAACATTTTTCTAGTATTTTGTTCAATGCTGATAATAAAGTAATTGGTCTATAATTTTGTGTTTCATTCTTTTTACTCTTTTTGTATATAGGGATTATTGTGGATTGTTTTAGGTATTGTGGGTATATTTCTGAATTTAATATGTGATTTGTTAGTTTTAGAAGTATTGGTATTAAAGTTTTCTTGTTATCTTTGAGTATATTATTTGTTATTTTATCAAATCCTGGTGCTTTGTTTCTCTTTAGTTCATTAAGAATTTGTTCCATTTCTTCTTCTTTTATTTGTTTAATGTAGCATTTGTCGTAAGTTTTTTTAGTAGTTGTAGTTGTTGTTTCCTTTGCTTTTTAATATTTGTTCTTCAGCTAATATTTGCACTACTGTAGTAAAATTATTAAGTTATTTAATTCATTTGCTATAATTTTTGGATCAGTACTATTTATTCCATCATTTTTGGTAATTTCCTTAATAGTATTGACATTTTTGTTGGGGCGTATTTGCTTATTAACGAATTCCCAAATTTTTCTGGTGTTATTTTTATTTTCATTAAATTTTCTTCTGAAATATTGTTTTTTCGTCATTTTTATAAGGGCTAATATATATTGTTTTTGTTCAATATATCTTATTTTTAGAAGTTCCTTATTTGGGTGTTTTCGGTGTTTCTTATAAAGTGTATTTCTGTTTCTTATTTCTTTTATAATATTTTGAGTTATCCATGGACAATCATCTTTTCTTTTTATTCTAATAATATTCATATTCCGGTCTATATTTTTTTCTATCGTTTTTGACAGTTCTTCATAAAATTTAATTTTGTCGGTCTTTAGTTCGGAGATCATTTTCTTTATTTTTTGAATATTTCGTTTTATTATTTCAAATTGTGTATAAGTAGGTTCTTTGGTTATTTTTGATTCTAATTATTATCTTTTTAATTCTCTCTTGTTACTTTAATTAAATTGTGATCAGATATATATCTGATTAGAGGAGAGAATATTCATTTTAATGGACTTTTCTTTAATATTTGTAATAACATGATCAAGTATTGAGTTGTTAGAATGTTCATTATAACGAGTGTATGCGCATGTTTTCTTTTTATTCAGGATGTTGTAGTTTCGTTCTCGATATATGTTGTAGTAGTTGTCAATCAGAGTATTTTTTTCCATTATATTTATATTAAAATCTCCCATGATGATATGGCTTTTCTTCTTATTTGCAATATTATTAATCAAAGTATTTTCTAATTTCGTAAAATCAACATGAGGGGGCTTATATATAAGCGTGATTGATATTTTTTATTGTACTAGTTCGATTGTTATTATTTCTATTTTATTTATGATGCTGTTTATTTTTTCTTTATATTCTATTCCATGTTTAAGATATATTAGTATTCCACCTCCTCTCGTTTGGCGCGATCTAAATATTGCATTATAGCCATTAATGTTATATAGGTGTTCTTCTGGTGATAACCATGTTTCTGTGAGTGCAATGATTTCCGGATAATTTTGTATTTTGGGAAAGGTTTCAATTTCTTCAAACTTGTTTCTAATGCTTCTTATGTTTTGCATTATGATGTTAATCATCTATGGCGGTCGTTTAGGTTTGGTTAGTTATGTTATTTTTTGTTTTTATTATTTTATATTTATTGGTCTAATTTTTCGATATCTGTAAACTGTTTGATTTTTATTTTTTCGCTTGTTTCTGTTTTCCTGATATATACGTTACCGTCTCGAATCCATGTATATCTGATTTTCTTCCCTTTCTTTAGCTGTCTAGTAGCGTAAAATATTTTCCCGGTTAAAGTTGTTAGGTGATCGTTTATGAATATATCGCTGTTCCTTCCTTTAATGTGACATTCTCTTGTTTGTAATGATCCAATTTCTTTTCGTGCTTTCAAAATATTAATTTTTGATTGCTTGTTGTTTAGTGTGATTATGATTGGGTTGTTCTCGTTATTTGAATTTTTTCGGTAACAGTTTTGTATATTTGCAATGGTACTTGTGTTACAACTCATTTGTTGTAATATTTTCGTTACAACTTCTTTTGTATTTTCATTTTGATCTATTTTATCTACTCCACTAATAACTATATTGTTTTCTATTTTTTCTCTCTCCTGACTTTCAACAATTTTTTTAAGGGCTTCTAGTCTTTCTTTTAACATTTTGTTATCTTTATCTTGGGTTTTCAGTATCTTTTTCAGTTCTTTATTTTCGTTTTGCATTTCATCAAATTTTGCTGAGAGGAATTCTAGACTTTTCTGCATTTCGTTCAGTTTTTGGTAAATAATTGTATTTGAAATAGTTTCAGTGGCTTCCATTTTATCTTTATCGGGTACTTTTTCTGTGTTATCCTTTCTTGTGCGCGTGTTTTTTATTTGACTCATTTGGATAATTTGGATTACAAATATGAGGGAAAGGAATAAGACAGGGACACTCACTTCACCCTAGCAGTGCTCGTTGCAAGGACTTTAATATTTTTACACACAAATGGGAAGGTGTAGGCAACGGAGAAAGGATTTTATGTTGGGCAGTGTACAGAGGTAAAGAATGTAGGATCGATAAAATACGCAAAAAGGTTGTACGGCTATCTTGGTGTGTTTACGATAGGCTGCTAAATTGAGTTAATTTGCCGATTTAAATCTAAATGCATTTACCTTTTTTTGTTTTCCTATTTTAGTTTAAAAATAGTTAATAAACATTTAGAATCAGTTCTTATTATAAATTTACGCCCATAAAGATATTGGAAAAATATTTTAACGCCCACAATTACGGTTAAACCTTCTTTTTCTACTTGTGAGTAGTTTTGTTGTTGAGCTTTAGTTAAAGTTTGTGAAGCAAAAGCAATTGGTCGCAATCGTTATCAGCATAACGATGAGAAATTACAGCACCTATGCCATAAAAAGAACTGTCTACTGTTAAAATTATGGGTAGGGTTGGATCATAGTGCACTAACACTGGGGAAGAAGATAACACCCTTTTTACTTTATTAAAAGACTTTTGACAATTTTTACACCAATAAAATTTTACATTTTTCTTTAACAAATTATTTAAAGGTTGCAAAAGAATAGAAGCATTTTTTATAAAGTTATTATAAAAATTAAGAAACCCCAAATTATTTTACCTGTTTTACATCTTGAGGAATTTGAGCTTCCAAAATTGCCTTTATTTTATCTTCACATGTAGGTAATCCATGTTTATCAATTTTATACCCTAAATAAGTTACAGACTCTTTAAAAAAATCACATTCATTTATAAAAATTGTCAACCCATTGTTTTCAAGTCTTTTTAAAACCTCATTTACTCTATTTATGTGCTTTTCTCTAGTTTCTCCTGTTATTAAAATGTCGTCAATAAAACAAGCCACCCCTTCTACGCCTGACAATATTTTTTCCACAATGCCCTGAAAAATAGCAGGAGCATTTGCAATGCCAAATGGAAGTCTATTATAAACAAATAACCCCTTGTGCGTACTAATAGTTGTTAATAATTTTGACTCTGAATTAAGTTTAACCTGTTGATAAGCATTTGATAAATCAATTTTTGTAAACTCCAATCCCCCTCTTAACTTACTAAATAATTCATCAATTCTTGGTAGTGGATACTGGTCTACATGCAAGACTGGGTTGAGTGTGATCTTAAAATCACCACATATTTTAATCCCTTTACCACTCTTGATCGTAAGTAAGTAACAATGCACATTTTCCCGCCAACGACCTTACTCGTGCCGCCCATTGTTGTACCGTTTCGTCCTTATTTTTGACTGCCCCATAAAATTTATAGCGTGCAGCAAAAGGACTAATGGATGGTTGAAAATGCTTGCTACAAATATCTATGAGTTCCTCATATTTTTTTTCTTCCGGAGACTTGGGAAGACAAAGGCTATGTATTAATCGGTATGCTTCTTCATCACAGGCATTCAGCAGGACCGCTCTCATTATATCTTTGTCAGTAATTTTGTTTGCTATAAAATACTGACCCAATCGTGTTTTAAAGATGCTCCAATCCGAATCTTGCAAAGAAAAAACGTGTACATTTCCCATCATGGAAGCCATTTATCTCGATGAGTCGATTCACGTGCGGTACTTCCAGAAAATACGGATTTTAATGCTTACTAGGCACTCGCAATACCAGTTTTTAATCGTTCGATTTTTTCCTTGTCGCCAACTGTAATGTCTGTAATATCATTTATTATCGTTATTACATATATACATTCGTCAATAACATTAATATCTTAATCGTAGTACAGCCCAGATATTACTACTCTAGTATAAGGAAACTCCTGCGCAAAACTTAAACTTAACTTGCTATGTTGTCAATATTTACCTTATTTACAGTAATATACTACACAGTTATAATAACTTTTGTTGCTGTCCGATGTCCACATATCTATTGTAATCGAAATATATGCTACATGACGTAACATGCTTTTTAATAGGGCCGCCGCGCCGCGCCGCCTCTGTATATTGTTTGGGAAGAATCTCATTTGATAGCTTTTTTCTGTTAGGAACATTATAAAGGCTGTAGCTCTCTCGTATATTCTAAAAATCCTTGATCTTCGACGGGCAATAAAGGTTGATAATCTAAAGTAATTAATTTCACTAATTTTTCATCAATTCTTGATATTGCTGATTCGGAAAGAGTA